CGTTTCGCTAACCCTGAGAGTACCCCAACTTCATTGTTCACGTTGACGAGTTTTTAAAAATAAAAAATCCCTTTTGGATCACTTTTAGGTTCGTAGCTCTTATATTCATCTCGTTGTACAGGATTTATTGTTTTATTACTCTCCTATAATTTGATCAATATTTCTTGCAAAGAGCAGTATCTTTTAGTCCCCTTCAAAGACCCTATTCCGTATTGCAGCCATTTAACACTCTAAATTCGGTACTAAAATGGGCAATTTATTCCATTGCCAACATTTGGCACATGTAAATGGGCTGAGCTATTTTACCTTTGATCTGTGCGAAGACTATTTCATTTTCACTGAAGCTAGGCCAAGACATAGCATTAGAAGTAACGAGTTTCCTTTAGAAATCAACTTTAGGGTTTTAGAATACTAATTTTTATAAGTATATTCGACGCCTTGCCTGGAGTACACTTCTTTGAAAGACCACTATTTAAACATTTTACAAAACATGACACGGATACATACTTTGGAGGACGACATAACATTTGAACGAGTCAAACATTTACCAAAAAGGACAAACGTTTACAGTGTACATAGGAAGCTATCTTGGCAGTGTCAGAAGGAAATCAAATTGTTTGAAAAAGAAAACAAAGTTAATACCTTTGAGCTGAAGCGATCTCAGACATTTATGAAAGAAAGACTGACTAATCTAATCAACATTAAGAAGCAAATTTTCGCCAAGCGTTACGGACCAGCCACCGCCATAACTCGCAGGAAAAGCTGCCCATCTGTGTTTGTCAGCGGACCGTTTCCAGCTGGACTTCAGCGCCAGAAAACATCAAGTCCTCTGCAAATTGACGGACATAAAATAGGATTAGACAAAAAAGGTGTGCAAAACCGAGAAACAAGGGTTTCCGTTAAGTTCAAAGTTGACGAGAAGAAAGCAGAAGAAAGCAAACATGATCCAAGCATCGGAAAACGTGAGAAAGGCGACACACATCACTACACCAAGGAGGCAGCAGTTCAGATCGCAGACAAACCATTCACAACTTTCTTCCGAAGACGCACTCTACCAGCTGTGTTGCAAGTAGAACAGGCCATTAGTTCAAAAGAAAAATAGTGAGAATAGAATTGTATATTTTACATTTCGTTTTCGCTGACTATTTTTTTTCTCAACAATGGATTTCATCCGGCAGCTGTAACATTAGTTTCTTTTTGTGTTGTGATTAAGTTTTTAAAATTGCAGAAATGTCAAAGTGTTTAAAATTTAAGAATATTTGATTTTGAATCTAAATTTAATCTATTCAGTTTTTACCAATACTGGAGTTTCGAATGACAACGATAAAAACGAACACATACAATATATAAAATATAATTGTTTAAATTTGTTCTAAGAAATAAAATTAAAAAAATATTTGGATCATGCAACCTCAGTAATTCATCATACAGGCCTATCTAGAACATGGAATCCATATGATCCAGCACGGTGTCATAAATGAGAGAGAGAGAGAGAGAGAGAGAGAGAGAGAGAGAGAGAGAGAGAGAGAGAGAGAGAGAGAGAGAGAGAGAGAGAGAGAGAGAGAGAGAGAGAGAGAGAGAAGGGGAAAACATTGATATCGTAGCTCGAAATTGTTTTACATATAATAGTTATGTTTTACTAAGTAGAGAAAACAAACAAATAAGCAAAGTAGGCACAAATACATGAGACATTTTTAAATTATCTTGTATTCCTAGTTTTCGTACATTTGTGTTAACTATTTATCATGTGAAGGTCTTCATGAGATAGGCGTTATACAGATCTTGTTCCAGAATTTATATTTGTTTTTGTTGTTGATGATGACGATGATGTCAACTTGCACAATGGGCGAACTACTCATGTAGCATCGTACCGATCTTAGTTTTGAACCCCAAAATGAAAATGTTCACGCTTTTTGTACACATCTTTTAGATTGGCTCTTACGTTTCTCACAGATAAATCTGCGTTCGCTCGAGTGTTGGGAGATTTGTGGGAGCATATATTCGCCACTGTAGCTGTGTGTGTACGAGAGAGAGAGAGAGAGAGAGAGAGAGAGAGAGAGAGAGAGAGAGAGAGAGAGAGAGAGAGAGAGAGAGAGAGAGAGAGAACAATCCATTTTTCAACATCGATACTGTAGTTGGGGAAAACAAATATAAAAGTAAGGACTGACAATTACGATTTATCAAGATTAAACAAGTAATTTGGAAATTTCTAAAACATTTTGTACTCCTATTTATCCTGTTTCATCTGTCAAATACTGACCTTGTTCCATTTCATTTAAGAGAGTGTAAAGTTGTTGTTATTGTTGTTGTTATTGTTAATGACAATGCAGTAGCAGCTAATGTAGCTCGGTTAAAATACGTCAACAATTTACGTACCTCAGTCTTACAAAATACGTCCACAATTTACGTCCCTCAGTCTTACAAAATACGTCCACAATTTACGTACCTCAGTCTTACAAAATACGTCCACAATTTACGTACCTCAGTCTTACAAAATACGTCCACAATTTACGTTGCTGAGTCTTACAAAATACATCCACAATTTACGTACCTCAGTCTTACAAAATACGTCCACATTTTACCTAGTTCTGTGTTCTAACAATTTTCAGTTTCTTGCCAGTGATTACCTTGAAAAATAAATCTCTATCTCCCTCGTTTTATCACATCTTTTGCACAACTACCTCGAATCATGCATTGCCCATTATGCATCAATGTATCAAACAGCTATTTTGGACCTATATCTGGTTGCTACATTTTGCTTTCTTTAATTATTTTTTTTACACTTTGTGCAACGATACCAATGTAGAGCCAGTTCTAGTGCCGGATGTTACTTTGTTACACCTATACCTATGTATGGCGTTGCTCAGTTTTACCTATACCAATGTATAGCCAGTATTAGTGTCAGATGTAAGTAACTCTGTTACCGATTTTGTTGCTATTGTTGTTGTTGTTGTTATTATTATTATTATTATTATTATTATTATTATTATTATTATTATTATTATTATTATTATTATTATTATTGGTGTTTAACACCATTTTTCAGTTCAAGTTAGGCTATACATGGCGGCCAGCATAAATGGTGGAGGAAGAACCAGGAAAAACCCCGGAAATAACTAACTACCCACGAGAAGTTACTGGCAAGCTTTCTCACACACCCACATTGGCCGAACCCGATACTCGGACCCACGCAGACAGAGGTGAGATGGCAAGGATCCGTAACGATGAGCGCTTTAGACCACTCGGCCACTAGGGACCCCTTTACCAATGTAGGACCAGTACTAGTGCCAGATGTTAGTTACACCTTAACCAATGTAGGGCCAGTACTAGTGCCAGATGTTACTTCTGTTATAACTATACCAATGTATGACTACTACTAGTGCCAGATGTTACGTTTACACCTATACCAATGTACAGCCAGTGGTAGTACCAGATGCTACTCTGTTACATCTATGCTAATATAGGACCAAATATAGGACCGATGCTAGTCCCCGATGTTGCTCAGTTACATCTATAGCGACGTAAAAACTATACTAGTTACAGATATAACACTTATACCAATGCTGAACCAGTACTAGTGTCAGATGTTACTCTGTTAACTATAACAGTGTAGACGTATTTGTTATTTTTAAAAAAATCTTTAAAATTCCCATTTTGCTATATTGTGACTGTTTCTCTCTTTGATGAACGTTTCGTCCAAGGGAGTACTTGGAAATAGAGTATTCAACAAAGCTGCTGGACAAATGGCTGGATCCCTCAATCCCTCCCCTTATACAAAAGCAAAATTGCAGGAAAAAGGGAATCCATCTATTTCTCTTATAAAAATCCAAAACTTCAGGAAAAAAGCATGGGACAACTCTGTCCCTCTCTCTCTCTCTCTGACCCCCCAAACCTCCCAAAAACTCCTGGGTCAATATGTTTTGGAATCGTGAAGCGTCTAAGAAAAGGTGTGATGATATATTAACGCGTCGTAATTATTTCATTTCTAATCTTAACATACTTCTATATTCAATCAAATTATATAAACACAATATTTATTCACAAGTGATATATAAAAAAATAAATAATGCTTGCTTTTTTCGGAGGTTCAATTACATTTTTTCAGCACATAATAGGCTATATACATGGTTGACAACATTATCATATAGTGTGGGGCATTATTAGTACAGATATATTGGAGAGAGAAGAATTTAATAAATTATATTTTATAGTCAACCGCTGGTCCTTTATCTCTTTTTCACACAGCTACTAAAAATGATATTTAAAAAAAAAATTCAAGCAGGAATAATGACATAAATTAGGTTAATATGCATATAGCAACCTTATACTCACTGTCTCTGTTACTTTCTTCTTTTTTACACAACCACTAAAAATGACTTGAATTTTTTTTTTAAATAGGAGTATAACACAAATTACGTTACTATGTAAATGGCAATCATGCACTCACTGTCCTAACGTCATTCAAAAACAGCCGATGTATGACATATTACTATATTTACATTAGATGATATAAGCTAACTAGCTCAGAATAAAATAGTGTATCGGAAATGGTGACCTTAGCCTTAAGGCTTTTGATCCTAAATTAACACAAACTTTTTCATACCTGAAGGCAGAATACCTGAGAAACTTGACCTTAAATAGGTAAAGGTGACTCAAATTAACTTATGTAAATAACAATGCAATTATACCTGGCTGGACCTTGAAATTTAACGTTTGGGCCAGAAAACCATTATGGAGCTGCCAAAACATAAACATAAGAAATACGAGAGGTAAACTTGAGAAGATGAGAACATAACAAATACGAGAGGAAAACTTGAGTAGATGTGTGACAGTCAGATTCTCCTTTGATAATTATTTTTTTTCGATTAAGAAATAATGATGCACTTTCATTTGACTCCATAATTATAGTTTTAATAATCATTCCATCTCTTGTGTGTACTGTACTAGATATACATGCATACACTTTTAAAAAAAACTGCCATTTACATCTATAATACACCGCTTTGGTGGCCTAGTGGTTAGAGCGTCCGCTTCGGATGTGGGAGGTCGTGGGTTCGAACCAAAGACTTATAAAAATGGTACTAACAGCTGCCTCGCTTGGCGCTCGGCAATAAGAGGTGCTCAGCATTAGGACTGGTCGGTCTGGTGTTAGGATAATGTAACTGGGTGGGACATGATGCCCCAGTGCTACATATCGCTATAAACTGTCACAATGCAGACATAGTAACGATATGAATGGAAAATTGTAAAAGCTATGTTAAAAATCAAAATCACATTATACTAATCAATCACATACATCTAAGACATCTGAATGACTATATGCATAAAGAATCGCTTTTTATCATTGTGTTACTAATTTAACTCCTGGTGATGTCACACGTATTGCTTGCTCCCTGTGGCATATGACACTAATTATAAAAACTTTTGACCTGAAGGTTTTAAATGTCGGATGTGGTCTTGCAAACTCAGACGGGTGAATCGACCAAGACAGTTGGTTGGCTTCCGTTAGTCTCAAGAGACAATGGAAAAGCGCCCGTGAAATGTGTCCTAGTTTGTAGCTGTGCAGCATCTTCTGTGACTATAAAGTCCCACACGGGAGTGGCAATCCTTGCTACAGTTGCTACACTTGAAGTATGAATCAGGTCTTGGTTGGAACTGCATCCTTTTCCTCTGAGATCTTTTCTCATCAGCGAGCTGTCGCAACTTTTCCTCTCTGGCTTTCAGACCTGTGTATAGAGCATGTCGCCAGCTGGACTTGTCGAGGGCAAGCTCTTCCCAGGTGTTGACCTCTATTCCAAGAGCTTTCATATCCTGCTTGCAGACATCCTTGAAGCGAAGATGTGGCCGTCCTATTGATCTTCTGCCTGAGGCAAGCTTAGAGTAGAGAAGGTCTTTGGGGATCCGTCCATCACCCATTCGATACACATGGCCCAGCCATCTGATGCGACGTTGGCGGAGGAGTGTGACCATGCTGGGAATTTTGGCCTGTTGAAGCACCTCGTTGTTTGTCACACGATCGCTCCAGGTGATCCCGAGTATGCGACGGAGACAACGCATGTGAAAGGCACTCAGTCATTTCTCCTGAGATGCGTACAGGGTCCAAGTTTCGCTGGCATACAGGAGAGTGCTAAGCACACAGGCACGGTACACGGAGATCTTAGTGTTTAATGTCAGCTTGCTGTTGTTCCACACTCTCTTCGACAATCTAGAGAGAGTTGTTGACGCCTTTCCAATCCGCTTGTTGAACTCGGCATCGAGTGAGAGGTTGTTGGTGATAGTAGAGCCAAGGTAAGTGAACTCACTGACTACTTCTAGTTTGTAGTTGTTAATGGTTATGCTGGGAGGGTCTGCGTCCTGAGCCATCACGTTGGTTTTCTTTAGGCTGATGGTCAACCCGAATTCATCACATGGTTTAGCAAAGCGGTCCATCAGGCGTTGTAGTTCAGCTTCTGTGTGAGTGACTATAGCAGCATCATCTGCAAAGAGCATGTCCCTAATGGTTGCTTTCCTTACTTTGCTCATTGCCTTCAGGCGTGCCAGGTTGAACAATCTGCCGTCTGAACGCTTGTGCAGGCAGATCCCTTCTGTGGACGTCCCAAAGGCGTACTTAAGCAGGACAGCGAAGAAAATGCTAAAGAGCGTGGGTTAGGACACAGCCTTGTTTCACTCCGCTGTGGATATTGAATGGTTCGGACGATGAGCCGTCATACTGCATTGTGCCTTTCAAGTCTTCATGGAAGGACTGGACCATGCTTAACAGCTTTGGAGGGTAACCAATCTTCGTCAGGATTTTGAAGAGTCCGTCTCTGCTGACCAGATCAAATGCTTTGGTGAGGTCTATAAAAGTCAGGAAGAGGGGTATGTGTTGTTCCCTGCATTTCTCCTGCAGTTGCCTGATGGAGAAGATCATGTCAATTGTAGACCTCTCTGCGCGGAACCCACACTGAGACTCTGGATACATTCTGTCGGCAAGCGTCTGCTTAAACAATTTTTCAGTTATATCGCTACCATGTCTGCAGTATGGCAGTTTATAGTAATGTCAAGCACTTGGGCATCACGACGCAGACATGTAGCATGATGTCCCACCCAGTCGCATTATCATGACACAAAGCCTACCAGTTTTAAAACTAACCTCTTAATTCTTTGTGCCAATTGTGGCAGCTGTTAGTTCTTAGTACCATTTTTATAAGTCTTTAGTATGATTCTGCCTGGGATCGAACCCACGACCCCCGCATCTAATGCAGACGCTCTAACCACTAGGCCACCAGAGCGGTTCAGGGGTGCTAGGTTATACTAATCAAATGGAAGAGTACCAAGGTAATGTTAGGGAGATTCCAGGTTCAAGTCGAAGCAAATGTACACCTTTTCTTCCATTGTGACAACACTAAAGAAAGAAGCTTGGTCTAATGGTTATCCATCCATAATTAAAAGTTTTGTCTAATCACTCAGGGTCGTGTGTTTGTGTGTGTGTGTGTGTGTGTGTGTGTGTGCATTTTACAATGTTTCAGTCATATTGCTACGTTGTCTGCAGTGTGGCAATTTACAGTGATGTCTAGCACTGGGGCATCATGCCGCAGACATGTGGCATCATGTTTCAAATTCTGAAAGGACGTGCCGTTTCTCTCTGTCGCGCATCCCAGATACGCAGCTAATATTCCCCTGGGACGCGAACATAATTTGCCCTTTGGTTTCGCCTTGCTTCGCTATATAGCTAAAGGCCACATGTGCAAGACGAGAGTTTTATTTTGAAAAAAAGCAATATTTTGAAGTAAAAGAATCAAACAGAGTGACAAAGTACCTCAGATTACCCTCGTGACCCATTCTGGCATAGGTCTTCTTGGAAATAGGGCAGCTGCTATAAATAGAACATAACACACAGGAAGGTCACCGCTTGTCTACAGACAAGTCTACTTTATGTCATAGTTACACGAAGCCGTTTTTTCTAAAATACGTTGTGGGAATAGTGGGATGTTAATAAAATGAGAAAACAAATTATTAATTTTTTTGGGGAGGGGGATATACCGAAAAAGCGTAATGGTTGGTATATATGGAAGAACCTGTCTATCATACTATAAAACAGGCCGATAAATCAGACCCTCACCCGTGATGATACTGAGTGACGGTTTGAGGACTATAGTCCGATGCTACATCCCCATTTGTTTGTACCCTCATCCCTACCGATTTCAATAACTAAAAATTTTAATGTTATAAAAAGTGCAGAGAACTAAGTCGATTGAATCATTGATTTATGATTTCTTACCCGACTGTCACAAGAATGGCATTAATACTGGCATTCCATTGCACCTTTCATGCTTAACGGACTTTCCATACTAACACGACGGCATATTCCGTACACTATTATGTAGTTTATTTCCATACAACATAATGTCGTAATTCATCCTATTCGGTAACTGCCGGATAATTCCATAAATTGCCATAAAGTTGACTTTGTTATTATATTCCTTTGCACACGTGATCATATTAATGAACCTGCTTGTTAAATCCACGTGAAAGGCATTTTTTTTTCTTTCATTCTTTTCCTTTGCTTGATTGGACACTGTAAATATCGGAAGCAGACGACATATGTATGTTCATCTTTAGACCCGCATGCACCCCTTTGCTGACGATGGACTGGGCCAGAAACTGGAAATGGTTATCAAGTCAGTCTATTACATTGAAAACTTCCGTTAAGCATAAAACGCGCAGATGATGACGGTATTATGGCAATTCTTCTTACATTCAGGTCAGAAAATATAAATCAATGAATTAATTGAATAAGTTCTTTGCACTTTTACCTTTTTTTTTTATCAAAATAAAGGTTTCCGTTATTGAAATCTGTATGGGGGTACAAACAAACGGGGATGTAGCATCGAACTATAATATCATCTATTCATTAAAACATGCAAATATATTCAGCCAACTTTTGCTACATATATCTACAGGGGTTCTTTACAAAGAAAATTAGGAGTATGCGTCCATGAATCAAGGCATGGGGAGTGGTCTAACCTGCAACAATATAATGTTATATTAATTGTTACTGGTTAGACGCCCAATGCCTTGATTCATGGACGGATACTCCTAATTTTCTTTGTAACTAATTTTTCCTATGCACATACCGGTGTACATTTTTATATACTTAACAGTATTTCTCGCGGCTGTGGAGCTACCGTCAGCTGAAGGGTTCTTTATATTTTTCGGAGCAAGTCATGCTTGGTGACTTGTAAATCCAAGTGGAATAACACAACTCCCTGTCATAAGACCAGTTTGGATTTCGCGCTAGATATGGCTGTTACTAATTACCCGCACGTGTCTAAAGCATAAGCGGGTTTGTTCCGGAATGATTTGCATGCAGCAAAACTGCACATTTTAATAAACAGATGACATCTGACCCACACATCGCCCATCAGTATTACTGCAGATTGGGGTGGGGGTGGGGCTTATTTATCGGACTAACTGTAAAAGAGACAAGGTAAGTAACTTCCCAAAACTTGTTTCCACGCTTGACACCTACATTTCCTTCTATTATTTCTATCTTTGAAGGCACGAGACCATATATCATGAGTTATTGATTTTCCAGTTCCACCAAACTGTAATTACGCGCTCCGATACGTTCCAATTGCACGAATTTTGCCTCCTTGACATATGTAACGTAATATGATTGGCTCAAAATGTAACATCATGAACCAGATGTATGGGTAGCATTACCCTTGGAGTCAATCGTATTTCGTTAATATGTGTACCGCATAGTCGGGATGTTTTGAAAATGAGTGTAACTTGTATTCGATTTGTGTGGAGGACTTAAGACAATTCTTCTATGGAACAGGATTCGAAATCGCAAGCACCACATCTCTTGGCTAAATTGAGGTCGTTGCACAGGAGCGTAACTTTGTCCGGGCAGGCAAAATTCGCGCAGTACGTACGTTTCGGATCTCGTAACATTAGTTTGGTGCAACTCAGGAAAATGAATGATAGCTTGATAAATAGAAAAATAAGCCATAGGTTATGGTCGTGTGACTTCGAAGACGGAAACAGAAGGAAATCATGGGTTAAGCGTGCAACGAGTTTTTGTTAAATA